CACCAGATGTGACTTCTAGCGAGGGCTTTCATTTTTACTACGCCTAGGTGAGTCGAATGGATGACCTCCAGTACTTGTTTCCTTAGGGTGTCTGGAATCATTACTCGTATTCCCCACATGAGACATCCCTGATACGTTGTGATGTCATCTCGACGATTGAAACATAGCGTATNTTTCCTTAGGGTGTCTGGAATCATTACTCGTATTCCCCACATGAGACATCCCTGATACGTTGTGATGTCATCTCGACGATTGAAACATAGCGTATCGCTGTAGTCTTGTAGCTGTGGTCACTGGTATGCCTTTGGTTGGGCTGAAGATGGTGACTAGTGGTTGATGATCCGTAACCAACGAAAACTGTCTTCCGTAAAGTTAGGTGTGGAATCTGTTGATTCCAAAGATGATTGCTAATACTTCTTTGTTAATTTGAGAGTAGTTTCTCTCTGCTTTCGTTAAGGTGCGAGAAGCGAATGCTATTGGTCTTTCTTGTCCATCGATGATATGGGACAGAAACTTCGCCGACTCCATACGGTAACGCGTCGCATGCTAAGCGGATAGGCTTCTTGGAATCATGACACAATACCAAATCTGACGTGACCATCTCTTTTACCTTCTCGAGGGCTTCGTCACATGTTTTACCATGCTCCAGTAGCTGGTGGAGTGGTCTCATTACCGAGGCTAGGTCTGGTAGGAATTTGTGGTAATAATTCACGAGGCCAATGAATGCACGAAGCTGAGTTACGTTCTTGGGTGTTGAGGTATCACGCACTGCTTTAATCTTTTCTTCTGTCTTGTGTATACCGTGCTTGTCTATCTTGTGTCCACAGTATTCGACCTCATCTTGGAAGAACTGGCATTTGGTTGACCTTGAGTTGGTGCTGTTGCAAACGACTCAACACACTTCCAGATTGTCAAAATCTTCGGTATTGTCCTTACCAGTTWTTATCATGTCATCTAGGATGCATTGGGCTGATGGTATTCCTTGCAGAATCTGTTCCATACTCCTATGCCATATTGCTGATGCAGACGCGATTCCAAACAACATCCGGTTGAACTGGTATAGACCCTTGTGCGTATTCACAGTTAAATACTTCTTTGAGTTTTCTTCCATCTCCATGTGTAGGTAGGCTTGCCTCAAATCGATCTTTGTGAGCTTTTCTCCATCTGCTAAAGATGCGAACACATCTTCTATCCTGGGTAACGGRTACTGGTCCACTGCAAGCTGGGGATTACCTGTGAGCTTAAAGTCTCCGCACATTCTCACTCTTCCGTTTTTCTTGAGTACGGGAACTATGGGTGTGGCCCATTTGCTTGTTTCCACTTTGGATATTATTCCCATGTTCTCTAGCTCGTCTAATTCTCGCTCCACCTTTGGTCTCAAGGCATATGGTAGTTGTCTGGCTTTCAGAAACACTGACAGTGGTTCTTCTTTGAACTTTTATGTCGCCTTGATGTCCTTCACTTTTCCGATTCCTTCTCCAAAGACTGTTGGATATTTGBTTAAGATATTGTCTAGTGCGTTGTTGCTACTTGCAGGTTCCTTATTCAGTGTTAAGGCGCTGAAATACGAGATACAAAAACGTCCAACTTGTCGCGCAACATTGTTGCGGTGCAAGTTCGAAAACAATGTTGCTCGTTTTTTACCCTATCTATCCAACTTGTCACGCAACAAAATCTTTTGTTTCAAGTTGGGAAAACTTGTTGCGAAAAGTAGAACGTAGATCAACTTTCTGCAACAAATTTGCGATTTGTTGCTCGTTTTTTATCACTCGTCCAACTTGTCACGCAACATTTTACTAGAAGTTGCATCTGATTGGTCCACGTGGATGACGTATTTCGGGCCTAAAGTCCATCTTGCGCGAAAATGATAACGAACAAAATGGCGGACGTTTCCGGTGAGAAATTGGTTGAGTCAGAAATAGAGGGTGCAAGTTCTCGTACGAGCTGGTGATATGCACCCTTTTCTCCCTCCTCTGGATCCATTTTCTTGTGGTCAGCCTGCAGAATATCACCGTGATAGTCCCAGCTTGCAACATTAGATTTTGCTGCGTGACAATTTGGATAGATAGGATGTAAAACGAGCAACATTGCTTTCGAACTTGCACCGCAACAATGTTTCGCGACAAGTTAGACGTTTTTGTCTCTCGTATTTACGGAGCCCGTTAAGGGACAGTCATAAACGCGCAACTTTTTTTTGAAAAATCCCGAGTTACTAGTGTGAAAATCCCGACTTGCGAAAATCTCGACTTACAAAAATCCCGACTAGCGAAAATCCCGACTTACGAAAATCCCGACTCACAAAAATCCCGACTTACGAAAATCCCGACTTACAAAAATCCCGACTTACAAAAATCCCAAGATTTTGTTGCGTGACAATTTGGATAGATAGGATGTAAAACGAGCAACATTGTTTTCCAACTTGCACCGCAACAATGTTACGCGACAAGTTGGACGTTTTTGTCTCTCGTATTTACGGAGCACGTTAAGAGACACTCATAAACGCGCAGCTTTTTTTGAAAAATCCCGAGTTACTAGTGTGAAAATCCCAACTTACGAAAATCCCGAAAATGAATAAGAAGGAAATTGTGCTTCTTCTCACTAAGGAAAAAAACAATGTTGCGCGACAAGTTGGACGTTTTTGTGTCTCGTATTTACGGAGCCCGTTAAGTACGTATTTCAGCGCCTTTAACACGTTGTTTATCTCTTTCCATTCTAACTGTATCGCTGCTACCCAATCTCGGCCAAACAGTGCTGCTGTGTCTCTCTTGACTAGGTATAATTCGAGGATTTTCTCTTGATTGTTGTACCGTACCTTGACGCGCGTGATTCCCTAGAAAACAAGAGCACTGGGCGAAGTGGGCGAAGATGGCGGATGGCAATATCAACAGCTCCGCACAAATAAATTTAGATATAGTTAAAGAATTACTTAAGGTTCAAGAAAATAGTTTCAAAAGCTTTGTCAATGTTCTGATTGACAGTTTCAATAATCTTTTTGATAAATTAAATCGTGAGATATAACAAGAAGTTAAAGAGTCTACAGTTCTCTCAAAATGACATCGATGAAGTGAAGTCGAAGGTGAGAAAGCTAGAAGAAGATCTTCTTGAAGCAGAAGACAAGATAGACTATCTGGAAAACCAAAGCAGGAGAAATAACGTTCGAATAAGCGGAATCAAGGAAGACAACAACGAAAGCTGGTCCACCACCGAAGACAAAGTAAAAACTATTCTAAAGGAAAAGATGGGCATGTTTCCCGAGAACGTGGAGATTGAGAGAGCACATCGAACGGGCAAACCTCGTATAGACAAGCCAAGACAGATCGTTGTGAAATTCCTCCGTTATAAGGATCGAGAATCTGTCTTAGATAAACGTAAATCATTGAAAGGCACTGGAATTTTTGTTAATGAAGACCTGTCATCCAGAGTTCTAAAGAGAAGACAAGAACAACAAGGTCGCCTAGAAGAAGCACGTAAAGAGGGCAAAATTGCGTACTTTAGAATGGATCATTTAGTCATCAAGAATCGCGCGTTTCAGACTCCAAGCCGACTTCATCCTTTTAGAACTTTGGGAGCAAGCGCCGGTATCAGATCAGATGGCTTAGTGAATGCGAGTCTTGGATGTACTCAAGTCACGAGGGAAACTGACCAATGAAAAACATGATAAATCAAATCCTGGAAAATTGGACTTCAGTCAAGCTAAGTAGACTATAATAGTTCTCTTTAATCAACAATTAGAACTAGCTTATCTACTTTCGCATATGTATTTTAACTTTACTTGCTAGAAAAAATGTCTGCTACAAAATCTAAATGCAAATTGTGCCTTTCATGTAGTAAACGGATCTATTCAAATTGTAAGGAAATTATACAATACTCGCATTGCAACAATGTTTCACACCTGAAGTGCGTGCGAAATACTAATGAACAGGATTCTATCGACTTCCTGTGTCCCAAGTGCATTGCTGAAGCTTTACCTTTCATATCCTTAACTCATGATGAATTTCAATTGGCACTTTTTGAATTACAACATGGATCTAGTCGTTTCTATGATCTAGATCACTTAAACGCTTTGTCTTTCCACCCCTTTAGAGATGATAGTTGTAACAAATCAAAAGCTAACTTTATTGATAATTTTTGTGATCTAGATGAGCGTGTTTTTAATAGAATAGACAAAATGACCGAAAAATGTAGATATTACGTAGAAGAAAGTTTCAGTGATATTACTAAAAATAACATAGAGTTTTCATTTATCCATTTTAATATTAGAAGTTTACGCAAATACTTCCTGGATCTTGAATGTTATCTTGATTCTCTCAGCTTACGCTTTGATGTCATTGCGCTAAGCGAGACCTGGCTGAAAGACAGTGATGACAGTAGTCTTTTTGTACTTCCGAATTATCATTCTCCCGTATTCTTAAACAGGCCGAATGAAGACGGAGGTGGTGGCGTAGCTTTGCACATAAGTACTGATTAGTAGATATGAAATGACAGTTCTGCGCCATCCGGAGCCCGGAGCCGGCGGAGCCAGGCTAACACCCCTCCCCCACAATTTTCCGGAGCCGGTGGAGCCAGGCCCCAGACCACTCCTCTCCTCCTCCTCAATTTTTACTGACTGCAAAAACGAATTTAGAAACAAAAGAGAAGGGGCTTCTTTTCTAAGATCTAGATTCTTCTTGAATAACCATTTTTAGCGGTTCTACGCCATGAGGAGCGAGGAGCCGGCGGAGCCAGGCTACCACCCCACCCCCACAATTTTCCGGAGCCGGTGGAGCCAGGTCCCAGGCCACCCCACCCCTCCCCCACGATTGTTACCGATTGCTTAAGAATGAATTTAGAAACAAAAGAGAGGAGGCTTCTTTTCTAAGATTCTTGTGTAATCGCCATTTTGATGGGTGGATACTTATCGAGCGCTATAAATTGTTTTGGAAATATATAAATTCATAATTTCATTCAGTTCGCATAGGGTTGATCTACTGTTTAGTGTTTATCGCAATTTAATGCAATTTTTCTTTTACAACAATACGGCGGTACACGTAGTAGCGATGAAACGTATTGACTCTACAAGAATTAAGAATAGGCCGACTTTTTTATTAACTTATTTTTCCCTTCTTCAGAATGACAAAAAACCCAACCAGGGAATTGTGAGAAATGTATCACATGAACATAATATTAAAGAGCTCTTGTTCAAGTAAGATTTGAAGAGAAAAAAAAGTATTTTGAATTAATGAGGTTGTGAACTACTTTCAGAACAAGGTTTTGATTGCATTACCTTTCTTGGGTTGACAAGGTTAATCCCCTCTGTCAAATGTTCTTTGTTTAAACAGCGGGAAATAAAAGTTCCTCTAATGCCCATTAGTTTCATTCTTAATATCGATTCTTTTCAATGATGACGGTTTTCTTAAAGTGCCCCTGGTGCCCCTAGTGCCCCTGTGAGCAGCGCATGAGTAAAATGAGCAGGGCAGGAGCAAAAATGAGCAGCGCATGAGTAAAATGAGCAGAACAAGAGGACATCTCTATAACTATTTAACTACATTTAATAAAGTTTCATTGCAAACAAAAAGTATATTTAATTTTTCTTTGCTAGTTTACTGCCCTTCGACGTTTAGGACGCTGATGATATCGCAAATCTTCCTCTTCATCTGTCTCATCATTTTTAAGTGGTCGAAATAAATTGTTGAGCAGATGTTTACGCTGTTGAATCGCAACCTGTGTCGCCTCTTTCCAGTCATAGTCATCTGTGTCCATGAGTTCCTGTCTAGTTTTCATGATTTTTCGGAAATACGGGTCTTTCTTCAATGTGTACATCTATTCTAACTTTTTCAACAAAACAAGAAAGGTGATGCAATCAAAACCTTGTTCTGAAAGTAGTTCACAGCCTCATTAATTCAAAAAAATTTTTTTATCTTCAAATCTTACTTGAACAAGAGCTCTTTAATATTATGTTCATGTAATACATTTCTCACAATTCCCTGGTTGGGTTTTTTGTCATTCTGAAGAAGGGAAAAATAAGTAAATATAAAAGTCGGCCTATTCTTAATTCTTGTAGAGTCAATACGTTTCATCGCTACTACGTGTACCGCCGTATTGTTGTAAAAGAAAAATTGCAATAAATTGCGATAAACACTAAACAGTAGATCAACCCTATGCGAACTGAATGAAATTATGAATTTATATATTTCCAAAACAATTTATAGCGCTCGATAAGTATCAACCCATCAAAATGGCGATTACACAAGAATCTTAGAAAAGAAGCCTCCTCTCTTTTGTTTCTAAATTCATTCTTAAGCAATC